AAAAAAAAAGAAAAACCCTGATCTTGAGACGACAAGCCCCATGAAAGGAATAAAAGCGCAATCTCTATGCCTCGCTACTATGGTGCGAAGAAGGCCTTTATGCTCTAAGGATGCGGAAAGAACAGCCATGGAATGACTATAGTATTAACAAAGTGACAAAAATCCGGGGATAAAAAAAATCTTTCATTATTTGCCTTATATGCAGTATTGCCTTTTGTGTGATGTACGTTCGACCGTGTTTGTGGCCGACTCGCTAGAGTTTAACCCCTCTACATTAAGCTATTTTTGTTAAGAAGTTGGAGAAGTTCTCAATTCTTTGTCAAAATAGATTGCCTTGAAAATTTCTTCTTCTAAAAACTCGCCTTCTCCTCGAGTTTACACAAATCTTTGACCTTTAATTAAATTCACTCGCGTTATGTTATGGTTAATTTTTGCAGTATAAATTGACAGCAAAAAGAAAAAAAGAGTTTTTATGTTAAATTTCTAACATTTGTCTAAGGCTCCCTTTCAAACGATTAAAATGCAGACTTAAACCCTAAACACAAATTATCCAGAAACACCCAAAGCGAAACATCCTGAGGCTTAGCATTACACCACTTAATACAGATAACTCAATTTTTCTTTAAACTTTTTTCCTTTTTGTCTAGGTATTTAAACGAGTACCCTTGAGCTTTCATAAAGAGGAAAGACCTCGTGGGATTAACAATAATCTGATTGCGAGATAATGCATTTGTTTGTGATATTGGGTGGATCATAAAAAAAGACCAGATCTGCGGCTTCACAAAGCATTTCCTCGTATCTACAGAAATCCAGTCACAAGGAGGAAAACTTGTATTCTGAATTTTGAATCCGCGCTGAACTTGAACTTGGTCAGTTTCATGGGTTCCCTGGCGTGCGCGTCAATGGGGTGTGCCAACAAAATTTTATAAGATCAGTACTATCACGGCAAAATCTGATTAACCTTTGCGGTTCACGGAAATTTACTGCCAGACTCAACAGACTGGGGCGTTTCCCTTGAAAAACTTTTATCTTGAATCCAACATGAAAGATCGAGAACATTTTCTTTCATTTAGGATGCTTCCGGTACCCACGTTTTATTTGATTAATTTTATTTTTTAGTTTCGACTATCGTAAAAAAGCGCCGCCAACTAACCGGTTTTTTTTTTTGCAAGTCAGGTGATTTCAAATCCAATCATTCTTTCCCATACTTTTCGCAGCGACATCCCGTCTCTGAGTTACTGAGCTTAATTTGCAAAACGTTTTCCACGCTAATAGCAGCCAAAGTAAGCCTCGGAGTTTTGTTACGCACTTTATGTAAAGCCAGAGGAATAGTATAAGGTCGTCTTTTTTCCCAACCAAAAATGAATTACAATTACTTACATGTACTTGGTAAGAAATAATATCCGTGACGATAAGTTAGTTAAAAGCTTTTAACTAAATCAACGAAGAAATAAAAACATAGTTCCTCAGTGACCCAATGATCAGCTGCCATCTTCAATTTCATGACGTCGCATGGTTATTTCCCGGCCAGGCGGCAAAGTGCGACAAAGAGCCGTATTATCTTCCTCGCGTCTTAGTCCAACTTAATCTTAAGCATCATCAGGTTAGCGTTTCATAATATCTTGTTTCTCTTTGCAGCGATGATATTTTTTCTTTGTTTTGGTCTCTACATCACAAATCCCTGACGTAGGAAACTGATATTGTGAAATGTTTACCGGGTAGATCACACGCGAGGGTATTGCCACGCAGTGATGTCATCATCCTATGACAGAGTATGGAAGAGAAAGCAATGGCCGCTGAATCCAGGATTTTTCTTAGGGGGGTGTACACCACTAAGGAATGGCGTAACCGACTGGTGAGGTAAACAAATTTGAAAAGCGAAGGCTTCATCTCGGGGGGCGGGGGGAGGGGGGGTTGGGAGTGCGCATCCCCTGCACCCTCCCCTTAGATCCCTGGGGTCAAAGATCTCCGTTGATGATTTCACTGTCTTTTAAGATCGACGATGCGGTAATTTTTGTTCGTATAACTAGCAAGACTGTCATTGGATCACACACGGGATGTTACCTCATTAGATAAACTGTTTTCAACAACATCAACAGTTATAAGATAAAAAACTACTTCGTTTAACATTACGGCCACTTCTTTGGCCCGAAGAAACCCGTTACTTGGTTGTTTTTTTACAAGCTTACTTTAAGAACGCCTTTAATAGCACAATTGTGTAGTCCAATGGTGATCGTATTAACGGGATTCTTCTCTAATTTTAGACTGTGTATTGTTTTGCAGTGTTTTTGTGGTATATTTTGAACCCACTTGACATTAAGGGCGGTGCCCACTTTTGTTTGTGCGCATTTATTCTGCGCATCACGCAAGGCAAAAGACCTTTGTACTTAGTAGGCACTATCCTTACGAGCCATGTACTATGAATGGGTTGTATGGGAATTTAAAGAGAAAATACCACTAAAAGCAACAGCTCAACAGGCCATCTGTCGTGTTGTGCTCCTATTCGTACTATCAAATTTTCCCATGATCATTTGTCAGAATGAGGCCTATGTTATCATTTTTAACACCTCATTAATTTAGTACCAATGAACTATAATTAGAATTGTTCTTTTTATTCACATTACAACTAAAATACATGACAGGTTATTTCATGTCATGTCGTACCATTTAATGTCACACTACGCCTTGTCATACTATTGTAAATATAATTCTTTAAATAAAAACACTTGTTATAGTGTTTGGGGGTCGGGCACGGGGGGAGCAAATAATAGATGACTAATAAAAGCTCCTAAAACTGCATTTTATAATAGCTTTTTTTGTCTTGTTGGTCTGCAATGTTTATTAAATCTAACATTATTTTCACAATTATTAAGCACCAGATACTGCCTGGTCTATGAACAAAATAAAATAAAAACGTATTATCCTGTAATCAAATAATTCAGCTAGCAACAAATCTATTTACTCTTTTCATCTACTAATAAAACATTTGGGATAAAAACTAGCTTTGTAAACTGGCAATACAAGTGAACTCATTCGTACTTGCACAAAATGGTAAGGCCACCGTAGGAAACCAAATGATTTCTACTGTACTAAAGGCAGTCTTGTTGAAAGGAAGTGTACAGAAGCTTTTAAAAGGCTTGGGCAAGTACAAACGAGTACGAAAATCATGTCACCTTTAAATACTCAAGAGGAAAGCAATCCAGTTGTAGTTTTTGGTCGGTTCATTAGAGGTGAGAAGTATTTCCTGCTTGAAGCAGGGTTAACAACTCCCTTTAGTTCAAAGATATATAATTATTGAAACTTTGTCCCTAATATTCGAACAGGTTTAAACCAACAGGATAATTCCAGGAACAAATTGAATAAACAAGCGATTTTCCTGTCAAGCGAAAAATGTGACCCTGCAGAGACATGACAATACACAACAGTCATAACAGGAGTGAATTACATTAGTCCCTGTGACAAGTTCCCTCATAAACACAGAGTAACTGAATAATGACCCTTCAGTACATTCCCTTATGGCCTGCAGCGTCTGCTTCAAACCCCTTAGAAGTGTTCCCTTATGTGCATCAATCTCATTGCTGCTAGGTCCCTATTAGTTGTTTCCTACACTCACTCATATATGCTGAATGCACATAATAGATTTTAAGGAATATATGCTGATGATCTTGTGCATGCTATGCAAGCCAAAAGACTGATTTGTCCACACATTTCACTGTGCTCTGCATATAACTGGGCATTATTGCTTTTCACCGGGAAATATTATCACTATGCAACATGCCGCTATTTAGTCATGTGCAGTTGTTATTACAGTTTTCACACAAGTAATATCCGTATATTTCTATGACATTCTTAAATACAAAGCTAACCAATCATTTTCATTTAGATTACTATAATAACAAATTCTTTTAGAGTTAATGATAAGAATCATAGAACTAATCCTAATATTCAAGTTTTAAGCCACCAAGCAGCCAAGGTTCCTCTTTAAACACGGGCAGTTTGTAAACATATGCAGAGAAGAACTGAACCTAAAGAAAAGTGATACCTAGTTATAACCGATTAGTCTGAATGTGAAATTCATCCATCAACCATTTAACAACACTTGTAGAATTTCTCACGCTCTCATTGGCTAATTTTCATTGCGAGTAAGTGGACGGACACAAGAATTTATAATTTATGTGATGCGTCAATGAGCGAGAGCAGACAATTTGACAATTTGTTATTGTAATAAACAAATTGATGTCAGTTTTTTAATGCATCTGTCCTGTTATTGACAATGAATTTTATCATAACATTGTCAAAGTAGTCTGCGGATCCACAAGGTGATAGTCGAGTGGATCCCCAGTTATCTGACAATATTATGACAAAACTCATGATCAATAACAGGACAGATGCACGAAAAACTGAGATCAATTTGTTAAATTGATTGAGTGAGGGATTGATTGAGGAAACAAACAAGCATTTGAGTAAGTAGTAGGTAGGAAGCAAGAGACAACAACATGACAGAGCATGGTAAAAAAAAATGAAGTAAACAAACATAAAGGGACTCAATGTTAAAAGAAATGAGCTTCACTTGAGCTTGATAATTTAGAGGAACCAAACAGCCCTAGGGAACACACTACTTATTGCTTGAATATTCCTACAGAAAGAAAGTGCTCCTTTATGGAAACTACAAGTTTGGAAGTTATATTTTGCAGGTTGCAGGTTGAAATTTAATTATAACTGGAAACCGCTGGCACTTAAAATAATAATAACCTATATACTCATCAGGGGTTCTTACATAAAGTAGTTCGCCACTTTCACATAGTGAAAACACAATCAATCTGCTATAAGTACTTATCGATCGACATGCTGAGACCAGTGAAATCTCTTCGAAGCCATCTGGATGGCTACTCCACAGATGTTTCCATCAATTCTCGATTTGGCTCGGGTCTTCCCTCAACAACAGAGGATTGTCATCACAAATGAAGCAAATAAATAAAGAAATGAAATAATATAAGATTTTAACCGACGGAATATACTAGCACAACCTCAGTGTGCTTTCATTTTGGTACTCACAGGGAAGAAACCAAATTCAGCAGATATTTCAGATGATATTTCAGATGTTTCTATAAAAACAATAATTCATTGCAGGCTTAAAATCATAGGAATGTACTCTCCTCCCATCGCTTCGGCCAGTTTGGCATGAAGGTGGAGGCCACCTTTCTTTGCAATTGTAAACAGCATCATGTAACAGTCATGGTAAGTCTACCACCTGTACGTTTCTTTTAAGTGCCAGCAGTTTTGAAGTTATAATTAAATTTCTACCTGCAACCTGCAACCTGTAACCTGCAAAATATACCTGCTGTTACAAGTTTCAATATTTCTATGGAACCTCAATCACTTTATGGGTACAAAAAGATCTCCAAACTGCTAGTACTAAAGCTCCCAGTGGTGATACAGCTTGACCGTAGAGTGTTTGCACTGTTTTTGTAATGGATAAGAGTTCAAATCCCTGGCATTGAAGCCTGAATTTCTTCAGCCTTTCTTTTCAGTAGTTTCCACTTATTAGTTGAATATGACAGCAAAGATCTAATTCTCTCTGTACGTTCTTTCTTTCCACAGCAGTTCACCGACATGATATCTATTTCATATCTATTTCAACTTTGACACCTATCACCTTCCTTGCTGATTGACCAAACACTGTCATAAAAGGTCTCCTTCAATCATTGAGGAAAAATGTACACATCAGATATACTTACATTCATTTGATAGTCTCTCTTAACTCTAAACAGTTGTTATGTAGATGAAAGAGTCATAAGATATTCCAGAGCCTTGTCACCATCATTGTTAGCAGCCTGGAGACAATCCAGTATATTATTCTCCTTGAAGCCATATTCCTTAAATTTTTTCACCAGTTCAAGAAATTCTACTGCCTGCAAATAGCACACAATTTAATTGAGTTCATCCATGCAGTGTGTATAAGACTTGTTTCCAACTCCTACAAGCTAAGGGAGACAGTGTCCTAATAGTGAGTGTGTTGGGGACTTCAGATTGAGTTGTCTGTGATTCAGCCTTCACTGGGGTAAGACACTTCAATCTTAGTCTCTCTCCACCCAGGATTTGAAATGGGCACTGTAAAATGTCGGGTGCAGTTCTGTGATGGACTAGGTTTCAATCTTAGTCAACACTTTATGCCACTCTGTAAATGGAAATACAGTTAAACCCTGCTATTTCAATCTCTCAGGGGAATCGAAAAGTAGTTTGAAATAGCGCAATTTTGAAATAGCCATTAGTAAATGACTGAATCGAAGAACAAATCCAAGGGAAATGGTTTTGAGTTTGAAATAGTGGGAAATCGAAATAACTGAGTTTGAATTAACTGTGTCCGACTGTACTTTAAGAGCTGGCCTGATGACTTTACACCCCTAGGCTCAAATGCAACAAACCTGGACGAGGGTTTGTACACAATCAAGAATAAAAACATACCCATACCTTAGCTTTCTCAGTGTTAGTGTACACAAGGGCAACTTCTACAGTGTCTGCTGGATAGTTCATTTCACATAATTCTTGTGTAGCAAGAAGAAATTCCATAACCTGTAAAGATTTATGAAAAATTTAACAGCTAAATGCAATTATTTAGACTAAATAACATCCTTTAAACAGTTTTTCACACAGGATTTCAACACTGGCCTTCTTTACAAATCAACTGCTCTTTGTATATAAGGTGGTCACATTTTCCAAAGTTATTTTAAAAACCTAAGTGTTGGACTATCTGACCCCCTGCTCAAGAAAAGTAACCTAGTTACACACAAAACCATGCTATATGCCAGTTGTTCAAAGTTGGATTCAATTCATGATTGTGACTTCTAAATTCTCATGGGTTTAAGAAGTTTATTACTAGTGTTTTGACAAGTTTGTGGAAGTGATGCATTAAAGCAATAATGGCAGCTATTATGGAGAAGGTGTGGAGCCAGTGATATGTCACATGACCATATTACTTATTCATGGAGGGTATACAGTTCTTGTTGATTCCTTTTAATGCATGAAAAAGTGGATACACTCATTGAAGCCAATAACGTTGAATGGGAGAAGGTTTTTTTTTTAAAAGTTCTTGGTTCTTTTACCCTGGAGAGCACGAGTGAGAGACAGGAAGAGACCAAATAAGTTAAGAAATGAAAGAAAAGAAAATTCTTGATTCTGATTGGTTTAATTGGGGCCTACTTGTCATGTTACACAACCAATAATTACCAGTGCACACCCATGTGATTCACATGTCAACTACTGTACAAGAAATCTAATGGATTAATGTTCACTACCATCCATAAATCTTACAGAAAATACTACTGATTATTCGCTCAAGCGAAGTTTTCAAAGACTAGTTATATTCTGACATTTGTTACTGATACAGTCAATTAGTAATTGGACCTCATGTTGTACAACTGAGAGTAATCGTCCTTGCCATTTCAAATAGGCTTGGTGCTACAAATTCATCCAATTGTGCAGTTACTTGCTGGATGGCTGCTTACGTTTTACTCCATGCACTCCAATTACTACATGTATTACTCATACTTATCTACTGATTAAGCTACAATTTAGGTCAATATTTGGGTTGACACTCATCCTCAGAGACCCAGGGACTGCTAGCCAGGACAATGCTATTGCTTCAGGCGAAAGTTTACTTCAAGTGCTGAAGAGCTGTTCTTCCGCTCTTGAAGTGAACTTTTGCCCGAAAATATGGCTCACCTGAAAATACTAGCAGCCCCTGAGTCTCCGAGGATGGGTTGACACTATGTTTTAATGTTTGCAAAGTTTTACAGGTTAATAAGAAACATTAATTTTTAAAAACCCATCAGAAACAGTAAAGAACTATTTCCAATCTAACTCTACAAAATAATTTATGCAGACTACTCACATGCTTCAGTTGTGAAACACTCTACCATGAGTACAGCCAAACAAACCAAAATTGTCCTTTTAAACTACTTCATAGGATATTAGTAACCAAGGAGTTTAAAAGATACAAAATTAAACCTGACGAGGAATGCTTTCTTTTTTTGCAAATGTCCAGTTCTCTTGAACACACATTCCTGGCTTGCTATTGCCAGGACTTTCACCACGAAATAATGATATGGTTCAACAATGAACAAAAATTCAAATTTAATATGACTATTAAGCAGCATATTCTTTCTAGTGATTATACACTATCACAACAGCTATGGGGGTAGAAACACGAAATTTTCAAAATACTAATGAAGAAGTGTATGACTATGACTGTAAAATGGTGGACAAAATCCCACTAGGTGATGAAGTCAAACAAAAACTAAATATTCAGACTGTGTAAAACTGAAAATAGTGTAAGTTAAATTAAAATCATTATAGCTAGAACCTAATAACTAGGTACCAGCATTGCATAATCCAATAAACAACTGTAATGTTTAAATGATATAGAAATGTATTCTTATTATCATTAAATGAATATTGTAATGATATTATTGTACTGTAATCTATATGGCACGCCACAACAAGTGCAAGCTTGCTATTGCTTTTTAGTGTTAATTATCATATCGTACTTCGTGTACTTGTGTTATTTTCTAGTGTCAGTTTTGTAAATAACTTTTTTTAAAAATTGCCCTTCAGCTTTGAACAACGGCTTCACTCCCAGAGAGCTTTTTTGCAGACAAGCAAATCATGTACAATGTAGTAAAAGGCTCATAAAACAGTGGCATGCAACCAATTCCTAATGTTAGAGACAGTTTGCCTTACCGTGCCCCTCTGTACCCCCCTTGGGCAGGTCACGTGATTTCAGCGACCATGTGCTCTGAGCAGTTTGATGTGCGTTGTTTTGTGTGTAGGCGGAAAGNGAATTGTTCTTTTTATTCACATTACAACTAAAATACATGACATGTTATTTCATGTCATGTCGTACCATTTTATGTCACACTACGCCTTGTCATACTATTGTAAATATAATTCTTTAAATAAAAACACTTGCTATAGTGTTTGGGGGTCGGGGAGGGGGGGAGCAAATAATAGATGACTAATAAAAGCTCATAAAACTGCATTTTATAATAGCTTTTTTTGTCTTGTTGGTCTGCAATGTTTATTAAATCTAACATTATTTTCACAATTATTAAGCACCAGATACTGCCTGGTCTATGAACAAAATAAAATAAAAACGTTTTATCCTGTAATCAAATAATTCAGCTAGCAACAAATCTATTTACTCTTTTTATCTACTAATAAAACATTTGGGATAAAAGCTACCTTTGTAAACTGGCGATACAAGTGAACTCATTCGTACTTGCACAAAATGGTAAGGCCACCGTAGGAAACCAAATGATTTCTACTGTACTGAAGGCAGTCTCACTGAAAGGAAGTGTAAAGAAGCTTTCAAAAGGCTTGGGCAAGTACAAACGAGTACGGAAATGATGTCACCTTTAAATACTTAAGAGGAAAGCAATCCAGTTGTAGTTTTTGGTCGGTTCAATAGAGGTGAGAAGTATTTCCTGCTTGAAGCAGGGTTCACAACTCCCTTTAGTTCAAAGATAAATAATTATTGAAACTTTGTCCCTAATATTGGAACAGGTTTAAACCAACAGGATAATTCCAGGAACAAATAGAATAAACAAGTGATTTTCCTGTCAAGCGAAAAATGTGACCCTGTAAAGGCATGACAATACAAAACAGTCATAACAGGAGTGAATTACATGGTCCCTGTGACAAGTTCCCTCATAAACACAGAGTAACTGAATAATGACCCTTCAGTAAATTCCCTTATGCCCTGCAATGTCTGCTTCAAACCCCTTAGAAGTGCTCCCTATATGTGCATCAACCTCATTGCTGTTAGTTCCCTAGTAACTGTTTCCTACAGTCATTCATATATGCTGAATGCACATAAAAGATTTTATGGAATATATGCTGATGGTCTTGTGCCTGCTATGCAAGCCAAAAGACTGATTTGTCCACACATTTCACTGTGCTCTACATATAACTGGGCATCATTGCTTTCACTGGGAAATATTATCACTATACTTAGCTCTTATTAACCGAGCAGAGGTCTGTATGGGAGAATCTTGACTGAGGTCGTGAGTACAGACCGAACGCAGTGAGGTCTGTACACATTACCGAGGTCAAGATTCTCCCATACAGACCGACTAAGCTCGATTAATAAGATGTTTATTATAACGCAAACAAGAACAATTTAATTTGTTCAATGTAACTGGTTTGTACTAGCTGACATTTTGCTTGCGAAAGGCGATGATCTGAACTTAATTCTGTGAAAATTTGCTTGTCCTCTTTACTTTTTTCCCTCATCAGGCTTTTTCAACCTCTTTCCCAGGGCACTTCCACAAATAAATATTTTTAGAAGAAAATAGCCAATATTTTTGTATTTAAGTTTGCAACTTTTTCACGGCAAAACATTACCAGTCTAGATGCCGGTCTAGATGGGAAAATCTAGACCACTTTCAATATCGATTTCAGCCAATCAAATTCATGAATTCGGTAGTTCCCAGTCTTTGTGAGACATATAATAAAACATATTACTGTTCGGTCATGTACAGTTGTTATTACAGTTTTTATACAAGTAATATCCATTCATTTCTATGATATTCTCAAATACAAAGCTAACAATCATTTTTATTTAGATTAATATTGTAACAAATTCTTTTAGACTGAATAATAAGCACCATAGAACTAATCCTAACATTTAAGTTTTAAGCTGCCAAGCAGGCAGGTTTCCTCTTTAAACACAGGCAGTTTGTAAACATATGCAGAGAAGATCTGAGCCTAAAGAAAAATGATACATTGTTATAACTGATTAGTCTGAATGCGAAATTCATCTATCAACCATCTTAAAACAACTGTAGAAATTCTCGCACACTCATTGGCTAATTTTCATTGTGAATAAGTGGACAGACACAGGAATTTATAATTTATGCCATTTGTCAATGAGCGAGAGCAGACAATTTGACAATTTGTTATTGTAATACACAAATTGTTGTCAGTTTTTCCTGTGTCTGTCCTGTTAATGACAATGAATTTTGTCATAACATTGTCAAAGTAGTCTGCGGATCCACGAGGCGATAGCCAAGTGGATCCCCAGTTACTTTGACAATATTGTGACATAATTCATGATCAATAACAGGATAGACCCATGAAAAATGACATCAATTTGCTAAATTGATTGAGTGAGGGATTGATTGAGGAAACAAACAAGCATCTGAGTAAGTGGTAGGCAGGAAGCAAGAGACAACAACATGAAACAGCATGGCAAAAAAATGAAGTAAACAAACATAAAGGGACTCAATGTTAAAAGTAATGAACTCGAATTTAGCTTGATAATTTAGAGGAACCAAACAGTCCTAGGGAACACGCTACTTATTGCTTGAAAATTGCTACTGCAAGAAAGTGCTCTCTTAAAGAAACTACTACAGTCAAACCTCCAGTAAGCGACAACCCAAAATGTCAAGCCTTAGGGGTTGCTTACGGGAGGTGGTCCCTTACGAGAGCTTAGAACATATTGGGTTAAAATTCTGCCTCATTAGCATATGATAACTGCAGAGACTTACCCCATGTTTTGAATGTTTTATTCACGT